AGTTGAGGGAAACTGTTAGGGGAGGGAGGGGCACACCTCATCAACAAGAGTACCTGCATAATCAACGTTTGTATAACTAACCCTGAATTGTACTCCACATCTTTAAAATAAAAATAAATACATAAAAATAGCAACAACAGCAAAAGTTTTCTGAAAGAACTAAACATACAGCCGGGCTGTAATCCTGTGCGTTTGGGAGGCTGATGTGAGTGGATTGCCTGAGCCCGTGGGTTCGAGACCCGCCTGGGCAACTTGGCAAGACCTCATCTCTACAATAAATCAAAATTAGCCGGGCGTGGTAGCGTGTGCCTGTAGTTCCAGTTACTCGGAAGGCTGAGGCGGAAGGATTGCCGGAGCCCAGCAGGTCAAGGCTGTGGTGGCCGGGAGCAGCCACTGCACTTCAGTCTCGGCGACTGAGTGAGACTCCAACTCAAAAAAAAAAAAAAAAAAGAACTAAACATACACCCACCATATGATCGAACCATTCTACTCTTAGGTATCTGTCCAAGAAAACTGAAAGCCACACACAGACTTGAACACAGAAGTTCATAGTAGTTTTATTTGTAATAAATATTTGGAAATTAGAAACAATCCAAATGTCCACTGACACATGAACCGGTAACCAAGTTATGGTATGTCCCTAAAATCTCATACTATTCAACAATGAAAGAGAATGAGCTATTGATACAAGTAATAACATGGATAAATCTCAAAATAATTGAGTGAACAAAGCCAAATGAAATGAGTATACATGCACATTTACATAAAATTTTAGAAGATGCACAATAATCTACAAAGATAGAAATCAAATCCGTGATTTTCTTGTGATGATGGAGGGTTAGGAGGCAAGGAAGGAGGAATCACAAAGGCCAAAGGGCGCAAGGATTCTCTGGGGCTGATTGATATGCTAATTGGTATGTTCGTTGTCCTGATGGTGGTGATAGCTTCATGGGCATACACATATCTCAAACTGACTCTACACAAACTTTGATAAGGTAAAGATGTTATTTCAATTTTTTGTTTTGAGCAAAACACAGTGGCTTCAACAACAGCCTAATATTGCATCTCGTAATTCAATGGGTAAGGTGCATTTTTCTTTTCTTTCTTTCTTTCTTTCTTTCTTTTTTTTTTTTTTGGGTGAGTCAGAGTCCCACTGTGTCACCCAGGCTGGAGTTCAATGGCATGATCATGGCTTCCGTAGCCTCGACCTGCTGAGCTCAGGCGATTCTTGTGCCTCAGCCTTCCAAGTAGCTGGGACTATAGGCGTGTGCCATCACAGCCGGGTAGTTTTTAAAATTTATTATAGAGATGAGGTCTCGCCATGTTACCCAGGCTAGTCTTGATCTCCTGGGCTCAGGGAATCCTTTCACCTCTGCCTCCCAAAATGTTGGGATTACAGGTGTGAACCATCGTACCTGGCCTAGGTGCATTTTTAATACAGACAGATGTTGTATGCCAATTATACTTCAATAAGCTGAAAGAAAAGAATGCTTTCCTTATAAGATCATAAATGAGACGAAGATACCTGCTTTCACACTTATTTTTCAGAAAGGGCAAGAAAAAAAATGATCACTTCAGACATAGAGTGAACAATATATCTCTGAGAGAGCTAATCGTCAAAGATGGCTCTTCTAATGAACCTTGCCTCCTGGTATGTGTGCCCTTTTGTGGTTTCCTCCCCTGAGTCTCAGCTGGCACTGTCACTTGTTTTTGTCCAATCAAATGGAGTGAAAGTGACACTGCATGGCTTTTGAGGCAAAGTGACATGAAGCCTTCAGAATCTTCTGAGACCTCCTGGAATGCTTGCTCTCAGAGCCACCTGCTGCAGTGTAAGTCTGAATCTCCTGAGACTGCCATGCTGTGTGGAAGCTTCACCTGGGCACACAAGAGGCCACATGGAGAGAGAGAGAGATCACTATATCACTGGTCAGTCACAGCTGATCCTGCTATCCCGACTGAGATGCCAGACATGTAAGAAGAGGGCATCTTGGATGCCCAGCCCAGTTGAGCCTTCAGATGACTCCAGTCCCAACTACAACTTGAATGCAACTACTTGAGAGACCCCCCCCACCTCAAGAATCAGTTCATTGAGCTCACTTAACCCACTGAGGCATGAGATGTAATATTAGACTGCTATTTTATTTATTTATTTATTTGTTTGTTTGTTTGTTTATTTATTTGAGTTGGAATCTCACTCTGTCACCCAGAATGGAGTGTAGTGGCCACTCCCGGCCACTGCAACCTCGACCTGCTGGGCTCCGGTGATCCTTCCGCCTCAGCCTTCCAAGTAGCTGGAACTACAGGCACACGCTACCACGCCCGGCTGATTTTTGATTTATTGTAGAGATGAGATCTCACCAAGTTGCCCAGGCGGGTTTCAAACCCGCGGGCTCAGGCAATCCACTCACCTCAGCCTCCCAAAGGCGCGGGATTACAGGCTGAGCCACCAAGCCCGGCTTAGACTGCTATTTTAAATCAATACGTTTCTGGGAGTGGTTTGTTAACATTAGTAGATAATTAAAATAGCATCCTTAACTTATCAAAGTCTGTGGAGTCCATATTGTACCACTTCATATTTCTTTTTTTTTTTTTGAC